GGTTTTTTAAACTTCATTCACCTTCTTTAAATTATTAGCATGTGAATGACCATTAGTGGTGGCGGTGGTGGTATTATTATTATTGAGTGGAGGAGAAGGAGTGGTTGTTGTGGTTGGTTGTGGAATAGTCATGATGGTGGTTGGTTGTGGTGGTGGAGTTGTGGTGGTGGAGGATGTGGCATTGATGATGATGGTGGACTCAAGTATTCCTGTTGGTGATCTTGGTGATGATGTGAAATTTGATCCTGATGCTCACTTTTAACACTCTTTGAACTTCTTGTACTTGTTGTGCTATTTGTACTTAGTGATGAATTAGCTCTCTTTCTACCACTTGAAGAGGTGCTGGAAGTATTCTTTCGTTTAGTTGTGCTTGTTGAAGTAGCACTTGAAGTATTTGAATCTGTTTGTTGATTCAACTTTTTCCATTGATATAAATCATGGAAATAACAATAATTACAAATATTATTCCAGAACTTGGCAATATAATCTGGCTTGAACTCTGTTTCACATCTGAGAGAAAATCTTAAACGATTTGAAACATCCTTTGTACAATTTTGAATACAACACGTGGTTTGATGTACAAAAGCATTGAGCTCCTGAGTATTTGATGAACTAGAAGCAACTGTTTGATCATTTGAATGATTTGATTGATTGGAATGACTTCTTCGTCTTGTATTTGATGTTCTTCTCGTTGATTTTCTCTTCTTTGATTCTGGACTACTTGTATTATTTGAATGACTACTACTGCTACCAGTACTACTACTGTTGGTAGATTGATTGACTAATGGTTCAGCAATATTGAGTTGTTCAGTCATTTCTTCATCTTCATCAGAAGGACTTGACAGTGATGATAATCTATTATTAGATTCATAAACGTGTTGATGAGTCATGGTTGATGAACTAGTTGGATGAGATGCAGTTGTTTGTGTGCCTTGTAGGAGTGGAGGTGGAAATACAATGCTCTGATTTGTAATTACTGGTACAGATGCAGTAGTGCTAATATTATTATATGGAATGACATGAATGGATGATTGTATCATGTGTTGTTGTTGTTGTGGTGGTGATTGTTGCTGCTGATGATGATGAACATTACCTATTAATTGTGATGGCAATGTGAATGGATTGACAATGGTGTTAATAGCAGTATTGTTAGCATTGGTATTAGGAGAAGTGTTATTAGACCCAGTTGAATGTCCACCACTAGCATATGGTTTAGATTGTAAAGTGTTAAATTCAGGATGAGTATGTGAAAAATCTTCACGGACCTTATCGAGTAGAATTTTTCTCATCCTTTTCTCTCTTTTTAATATTGAAGTAAGTGTGTAATACAATAGTGTTGCAATATAATAGTATTAGTAATATAATACAAAGTAATATTAATAATGATTAAACAAGTTGTCGCAATATATGTTACAAAATATAAGGAGTTATACAAAATATACAAATTCACTCCTATAACAGCAAGAACAATTTGACTATTTTCACAAATTGCGTTCTAGTCGAGTTAAGAAAAAAACAAAGCCTTTGATCGGATTGTTATTATATTAACAACAGCAACTACTGTGTGTGTGCACTCGAGATTCACTGTGTGTGTTAAGAAAAAGGCTCAAGAGAGTGAATAAGAGAGTTTACAAGTTTTTTTTAAATGAAAGTTATTTTTATTTTGGTGTTTGAAGTTCTAAAATTGATTCCCCTGATAAAATCGTCGAAGGCTTCTCATGGTTGTGTGTGTGAATGTAATGTGGAAGGCTACTTGAAGAGGCTTCGTAGAATAGGATTAATATTCAATCAGTCAGTTATTCTCAGCGATGTATCGTGTGTGAGTGTGGATTAATAAGAATACTTCTGAGATGGTTGATGATGATTGAAATAGTTGTTGGTTGACTTGAGAGATGAATTAATTTTAGAAATTGAATAATAAACGGTAAGATTGACCTTTAATGTTTAGTGATGGATAGATGTGAATCTCTTGTAAAGAATCTTAAAAGTAACTTGATCATGACAAGTAGTGTTGTTGATGACTTTTACAACACTTTTATAGATTTTACATGAAACATGGTCAATGTTTCCACTATTTCAGATTCTATATATTGAGTTTCGAATAGTTTTGGTGTTGTATATTTATTGAAGAATGGTAAAATTGTAAAGAAAGGAATTATGCAAACATGTTCAATGTTCTATTGTTGGTGAATTAACATGAAATGCAATTTTAACATGAATCTATTTGCAACTTTACAATGTCGGTTATATTGGTTGAAAATGTTCCTTATTACCAAAAAATGCTCATTTAGGAAAGTAAGTTGTTAAAATATTGAAACAATTCCTTTTTGTCCATTTGTAAATATTTGATCAATATTTGTAAAGTGTGAAAACCTTCCTTACTGAGCTTTCACACAAAATTATTCTATTATGAATAAAACTACAGAGATCACGCAAGGATTTGTACAGCAAGCACCTTCCATGATCCTTCCCTGCAGCTTTGGTTCACAACTTTTTAATTGCAGTATGATTGCTACATTATCTAACAAATATCTACATCTCTATGAATTGTTTTATTTTCAATGTATTTTTAACTTTTGGTTCCTAAATATCAAAAATAGTTGAAATGTATTTTGTTTCATTAATAAAATCTATTATTATTTTGTGTTTTCAAAAGTAAAACAGAAACCTGTTGTTGGGTTGGGGGTGTTGTTTGTTTTTTTTTGAGGGTTTTTCAAGTTGTTTTTTTTTGTTGTACAAGAATCGTGTGCTGCAAGGTTTCTTATTAGTAGTTGATCCAATTTGATTATTTAGATCTCCTTTTCTTGAATTCAATTAACAACTTGTGGTGTGAGAGTATAACAATATTAATTAATCACAAAAGAAACTGAATGTAAATTGTGAATTTGATTCTTCATAAAATTTATTACTTCTCGCACAATAAATTTACTGAGAAATTCTATCATAATTGAACCTTGTTCCACAATATTGAAGAATATTGATATTCAAGTTTGTTCAATGATTGTTTTGGGCAGAACTTTGTGATATCTTGACACCTTCTTAATATGGATTATAAATCCACGAATGAAAACATTTTTTAAAACATCACACACAAAAAAATGAGAAAAGAAGACCTTGTGAGTGTCATTACATTGATTATTACTGCAGCACTTTTAAATTTCTATCCAATTCTCTTCAATAACCAACAAACACTTGAAGAAATTGAACAACATCATAAAATTAATATGGAAACTCCTCTTAATACAGAAAGTAGAATAAACTCCATCCTATTGAAAGGAGCTTCAGGATATTCATGTATCCTTCCACCATCAGAAACCAATAAGAAATACTTTAATTTAGGTGAGACAATTTACACTGGTAGTTCAGATATGTTACAATTTATTTGTGAATATTTAAAGAGACGAAACTTGGTGAATGAAATTATTCCAAATTCAAGAAAATTGATGAAGAGATTAATATACGAAGCTCACTTGTTGGAAATGTTCGATTTGAGGGATAAAGTGATTAGAAAATATGTGAGCCCCTTTGTCGCAATTGATATGGTTGGATATCCTCAAAAAAAGAAAGAATTTATTATTCGAAACATACTTATTCGAAAGGCAATCACCAATTTTTATAATACTAAGGGACCCTCCTTCACAAACACTCTTCCTACAAAGATTAGAGCTGCCCTATTTGATATTAGGAAGGAATTGAGCAATACTGCTTTTTTCATATTCATCAATATTAGTAATGAACGAACTTTGAGAGGAATTTCAAAAGAAATTGTTGACTTGTTACCAAAATACTTATTTGAAATTGCAAATAGCTGTGAATTGGAAAATATTATGAAAGAGCAATTTACAGAGCTACTTTTTTATTTGTTACAAAATATTGGAAATCGAGAATTGGTCCAAAGTGGAATGGCATTAACATCTCTACCAAAAATAGCTTTATTTATTCAACATAGACGAAATCTGTTTAATAATTATGAAAATTGTTTTACCAATTTTAGTGTTAGACCCATGATTGGATGTATTGGATTTATAAAGAATATGTCAGGATCGTTATCTGCTTCGATTATTAGACAACTATATTCAGATAGTGAGTTGGCAGCATTCACTGAATTGCAGTATGATAATTTAGGTGAACTGAAGGATCATTTTGATAAAATACTTTTGAGAACTCTCCATCATATCCTCAATTCATTTTAGTACTCTACTTCCACCATTAAACAATTTTCTAATAAATAAAAAATTGAAGAAGCATCTAAAGATATCACTTGATTCACCTTAGTGTTCATTCGGTTGATTCAATCACTAAGGTGAATTAGCTAAAGAGTTTGAATACATTGAGGTTGAACCATGTAGATTGTTCAAAACATAACACACTTTGTAATGTTTATTTTTTTGCAGTTTGGACTCTGAAGTGCAAACTCATCATTTTGAAAATGTGTTGTACTTTCTGAATTACTACTTATTGAACTGTATTATGTGCTCACCATGACACGTTCATCATCTTGTCGCTCATCTCTTTTTTTCTCTAAGAGTTTGATAAAATCTTGCCTTCTCGAAATCATATTCCTCAATTCCTGCAACAGGTTGATCATAACCTTCATGGTAGAAGGGGCATTTCGTACCATTTTTACATTGACCTTTAACAAAATAAAGACATTTAATTGGTTTGAATAATCTAGGTTCACCTTGATGTTGGGCAGGAGGTTGTTTGCTGTTACTATACTGATTTGTAGGTGGTTTGTTTTTTTGAGCTCCAGAAGAATTATTTTGATAGGAATGTTGGGAATGATAATTCATATTATGTTGTTGAGGAGGCATGTGACCACTCGATCTATTTTGATAGTAAGATCCTTGATTCGCTGGGGGTTGAGATCTTTGATAAGGTGAAGGTTGATGTTGATAAGGAGATTGGTGATGAGAATGTGGGTAAGAATTGTTTGAATAATTATTTGCTGGAGGTAAAGGTTGTTGTTGATAAGGACTATGATTTGAAAGTGGAGGATTAGTAATTGGAGTTGGTGTGGTTGTTGGAAATCTATTGCTTGTAGTATTCAAAGAAGTAGGACTATTAGATATTATTCCAATGGTATTAAGTAAATTGTTGACAGAACTCTCAGTTGGTGAAGGAACTGGAGATGAAGGTGATTCTGTCACAATAATGGAAGGAGATGATCTAACCATTTCCTCAATAATTTTAGCTTCATTGCTGACAACTTCAACTGGTGGCATCTTGTCATTTGGTTGTAAAATTCTTAATGGAGTAACATAATTCACTGTATTTCTCATATTGGAAAGAATCATAATCTTCACTTGTTTTTGTTGATTCATTAAAACTCTCTCATTTGATTTTTCCTCATTCATTAATTCTTGAACAGATCTATGATTAACTTCTTCCACATAGGCTTGTCTTGGTTCAATAAGTCTAACTTTTTCCAATTCTGTTGACCAACTAACTCTCTTTTTTTTCTTTGATGATTCTTCAGATTTAACTATTTCAAAATATTAAAGATGAATTATAATAGAATGCATACCTTTCTTTGTAACACTTTCCACTGAATCACTTCGATTCAAATTTGAAGTTTGTGTTTCTTCTTGAGGTGAAGTTTGATCATCAGCTCTTTTTCTTTTTTCTCCACCTGTTGTAGTTGGTGTGGCTGGTTTTTTCTTTGGTATAGTTGGAGAGGAGGTTTCAGTTGGTGTGGTAGGAGTTGTTGGACCCTCCTTCACGAATTTTTGTTTCCAGTCTTGAATCAACTCATCAACACTTGTCTTTATTGTTTTGGAAAAGTTAGTTGACTTTGAAATAGAAGAAAGTATTTTACCAATTTTTGCCTTTTTGATAATAGCCACATCTAATCCTCCACATTCATTCAACTTGTTGACAATGGAAATTAATTCCTTCAACATACTAATAAGATATTAGGAAAATAATCCAATAAATAATACATACGTTTCATCTACGTGATCAGAACAATTAGTAATCCACTCGGACAGAATTGATAATCCATCCATAGTAAGAAAGTCTCTTAATATATTCTTCTTGACCGTAGAGTTTAGAACTTTGGTACATTCCATCCTCATTAACCTGATAGAGTCGGCTTGGGAAGATGTATATTTTAGCTGTTTGCATATTTCAACAAACGCAGGCAAATTTTCCTTCTTTGTTATTTTGTAGTTGTTGGTCAGGCTTTTAATTCTTTCCGTTACATCGATCATTGTTGTATTTACTCCAAATAAATAATATTCAAAATTGATGATGAGGTAAAACCTCTGATGTTATTTAGTAAACAATAAATATTACTACGGAGAAATAATATAAATTGTCTACAATATAGAAGGAATTATTCTAAAATTTTGTTGAACACAGGTTGATACTTTCTAGCTTTTGCCAAAACCTCGCCGTTTTGTGGTGATGCAAGTAATTGCAATTTAATATTTTTTTTTTCAATTCAAATTTTTTTTCTCTCACCAAAACTTTCTAGACAAAACTCGACGTTGAAGGCTTTTTGTTGTTTTTGCTTCAGTCTTGAGACTTTACAATGTCAAAGGTGTAGAAAGCATTGAGAGGTTGATAATAAATGATATTGAAAAATACAATGAGAAAACATACATCTCTTTGAATTTTTTTCAAATATAGTGAATAATTGAAAATAATAGAATCAAAAAAAGTAAATTTCTAAACACAGTCAACATTGAACAAGTGAGGGTGATGAATTGTTTCGAACAATTCAAGGGGAGAGTCCTACATGAACATTCGAATATTAAGGTTTGTTGGTAATTCATCTCAAAAAAACATTGTACGGTATCATAAAAGTAAAGAATAATTTCCAATTTGATATTAAATCCTTATTAAAAAAAGCAGAATTTATAGGCAACGCCATAATTTCCTCAAGGTCCAGAGCAATTTGAAGTTTACAAACATGTTGAGGTCGCATTTATCACCAAATTTATTGTCCAACAGATTCATATAACTGCAATGATCCAAGCCTTATTTAGTGGATTATAACATTTGCCGCTGTTTTTCTCTGCGTCCCTTCACAAGCCTTCATGCTGCTTTACTATATCGCCACCATCATCAAAGCATTGCGTTTGTTGTTGATGTTTGTCTACAGCTTCTTAATAAATACATAATTAAAAAAAATGTATAAACAGCCTAAAGTGAATATTTATTCCTTAAAATTGGAAGAGCTTACAGAGGTGTTTTCTTTCTGTTCCCTATTTGATTTTTATTCAATATCATTGACTTGTAGAGATTGGTGTGAGGTTGTTAGTGCATCAATGTCTGATAATAAATTTGCAAAGAGATATTATGGTTTAACGAGAGACAATATGATTCCTCTCCTCGGACCAGAAGTAATTTATCAAGAAGATGATAAAGCTTGTCGTCAAGAAAAGATTTCCAAGTTTTTATTCAATTGGGTTGATATTGTGGAAGAAAAGTATGAAAATGAACTTTGGATGAAAGGGTTTAAAGAATTAAGGAAGGATTTTCAAATTTCTACTGAAGAGCAAGTTGATATGGAAATAGTATATAGAAGAGTTGTTAGATTAACAGGAGAGCACAAGTATAGAAATTGGACAGCTTTCAGTTTAATTTTAAATGGTGTTAGAATTCCATTGTTTGCAACTCTTGGAAAAGTACATGGTGAGATTAGATATTTATTTGTTATGGCTTTCTTTGATGAAGATGATAACATTACTTATGATATTGAAAATGCAGTTAGAACTGAAGAGGCTTCTTTTTATCATGAATTTAGTGGAGTTGATGCATCAAAATATGCTAGAAACTTTAAATGGATTCTAAACAGTTTTCCAAATTATATTTCTCAGAAAAGATTTGGTTTTGAATTATTCCTATCAGTGTTAGAGGGTTATTTGAGACAAATGGATATTAATCCATTGTCGAAACGTCATTATCAAGGAAAACCACATACATCTCACAAAACTGACTTTTATATTATTAAGAAAATGGATACTTTTGTTTCCTTTTGGCCTTTACAAGAAGATCAATACGATGTAATATCAATGCATGGAAGAGTTGTGGCTTCAATTTATCACATTAAGAAATTCTATGATAAAGGAAAGACTTTTGGATATACTTAATAAAGTATTACCATCATGAAAGAATGGAACATGTTTAAAATCAAATTAACTACAAAATTCTCTTGTATAAAGACATGGAATCTTTAACTTAATAAAATTTGCCGACACCAGGGATCGAACCAGGGACCTTAAGATCTTCAGTCTTACGCTCTCCCAACTGAGCTATGTCGGCTTCTGTTGTAAAGAAATCCTTAATAAATTGGGTAATGTAAGGGTATTGGTAATTGAGAGAAACCATTCACAATTAGAAAGAATTACTTTTGTAATTGCCAATTGTCAAACCACAAATAGTAACAAATGAAGAAAAGATGTTTCTCTCATGTCAATACTAACAAGATTCCTTCCAAATTTTAACTTGTAGAGTCAACAACATTTTTAAAGCTTGTTCTAATGAACTAATTTTCATTGATTCTCAACAGGATACATTGTTAGTAATGCACTCTTATCTGTTTGTATTGTAAATAGTCGGATGCCAACAAAGCAAATCCTTTCCAACGTTCTTCTAATCTAATTTTAAAAACCCGAGTTGTTTTCTATTTTTATGCTACTGTGGTTGATGTCTTTTGTCTAAATTTTTTCAATTCTTCATAACGGACAAAGCTACATGGAAGTAGCGATAAAGCCTTTAAATTTTAAAAAAAAATTATTGTAAAAAATATCTAAACATCTCCCGTTCTCTTTCTTTTAAAACAATGTCATCACACGAATACATTTTCAAGTATATTATTATTGGCGATATGGGTGTTGGAAAATCATGTTTGTTGGTAGGTTGAGAAAAAATAGATTTTATTGGAATTTTAATGATGAAAATTAAAACAGCACCAATTTACGGAACAAAAATTCCAATCTGACTGTCCTCACACTATTGGTGTAGAGTTTGGTACTAGAGTCATAGAAGTTGAAGGTAAAAGCATTAAATTACAAATATGGGACACAGGTATGTTCATCAATTTAAATTGTCGGATTTTAATATAAAACAACAACAACAAATCTTAGCTGGACAAGAACGTTTCAGAGCTGTTACAAGATCGTATTATAGAGGTGCTGCTGGTGCTTTGATGGTTTATGATATTACTCGTCGTAACACATTCCATCATTTGGCCAGTTGGCTAACCGATGCTCGTAATTTGACAAATCCACATACTATTATTGTTTTAATTGGTAACAAATCAGATTTGGAAGATCAAAGACAAGTTAGTTTTGAAGAAGCTTCTCGTTTTGCTAAAGAAAACGGTCTTGTTTATGTAGAAACATCTGCAAAGACTGGTGAAAACGTCACCAAAGCTTTCATGGAAACTGCTAGTAGAATTTATAAGAATATTGTTGACGGAGTTTTGGATCCAAACAGTGTCGAATCAGGGATACAATATACAAAGACATTGATTAGTGATGAAGTAACGTCTACAGGCAATAATCCAAAGCCTTCTGGTGGATGCCCATGTTAAATTTTTCTGTACATTTATATTAAATACTTTAAAATCGTTTATGAAAAACACATAAACATTAATTTCACTTTTTATTGAAATTATTTTCTATATATGGATCTGCAAATCTTAGTGAGTCTTTTAAATATTTAGACAATAGAGAATCAATAAATTCTTTCAATTGTTCTTTTTTAAGGAATGGACTGTTAGTATTAAGATGTTTGAGAATTTCAGCATTACTAAAATCGGTCAATAGTGGAGATACAGTTGGTAGTTGTGTTATTTCAGTTCCATCGAGTTGAGATTGTTTATCAGTTACAGTGGTGAATTCATTATTTTCAATTACATAATAAATAAATAATTCTTCAAGAGTATGATTTGATTGTAGATAATTTAAACATTCTTTACAATTCTTTACTAGTAACTTGCTTAATTTCTTAAACATGTTCAAAAGTATTTCATCTAAATTCAGATAATTATGTTTACAATCAATAATTAATTTCATTAAATAAAATGATAAATTATATTGGCATTGCATCTTGTTAATTCTTGATCGTTTTTTAAATAATATTTGTATAAATTTAATTGTATTATTTTCAAATAAATTTAAATAGTGTTTAATTTTGGTTTCAACATGTTGTTGAATTGATAAAATATACTTGTTAATATCTTTTAATTTATCATTATTATAATTAATTGTTTGTTGTTTATATTTTACAAGAGTTTTTTCAAGTAAATCTTTTTGTAAATTATTTTCCTTCACTTGTTCTTTTATAATATTAATATTATTATTATTGGAACTTTTTTGTTTTTCTAATTTAATATTCATATTATAAATTAAATTTTGAATTTTTAAAATATTTTCATTTCTACTTGTTAATAAATAATTTCTTTGATTATAAAGAGTATTTCTATTTTTAGATAAAATAATATCATTTTCTGTTTTTATCATTTTTCTTTGAAATTTGGCAACTAGTAATTTTAAATATTCATTTTTAATAAAATAATTACTAATAAAATATTCCCAAAATGATTCATTACTATATATATTATAAAATGATTCATTAATTTCAAAATTTTCATTTGGATTTTGAATATAAAAGGAACTAAGTGCTTTTTGTAAAATTAATAAATTTCTTTCATCTCTTAAAATGTAACTTGTTAAATATTTTATAAATTCATTTCTATATTTGGATGGAATGTTAGAAAAATTAAAATTTGGATTAAATTCTTCTAAATTTGTTTCATTATTTAATAAATTATTTGATAAGTTAGATGTATTATTATTATTATTATTATTATTATTTGATGGATTGGAAGATGTTGAATTATTTAATTTTTGTGGAATTTTTCTTTCCAAATTAATTTTATCAGTTCTAATATATTTTTAATAAAATCAAGTAAAAATAATAAAAATTACCTTTCTTGTATTAATCTTCTAATTCTATTTATATAAATTTTAAATTTTTCAATTTCATTATTTAAAATTTTCATTAAAATTGAATTTTGTTTAATATCATTTCTAATATTTCCATAATTAATTTTATCATTTATATTCCAATTTAATTGTTGATTTTGAATTGATTGAAGATTTCTATAAATTTTTTGTGCATTTGATAAATTTAATTTTAAATTTTTAATTTGTTTTTTTAAATTTAATTGTTTTCTATTTGAAATTTCTAAAATTTCCATTAATTCATCAATTCCACCATTATTTAAATATTCTTTAAATGTAATATTTAATAAATTATTATTATTATTAACATTTTCAATTGTTGTTTGATTATTTTCATTAAAATTTAAATTAAATTTATAATCATCAGAAATTTTTAATAAATTTTCATCTCGTTGACTTTTTAATTGTTCTAATAGTAAATTTTCTCTTCCATCAAATTCTCTATTTAAAATTATTTCCGATAGGATCGTATTATCATCTATTAGATTATTTATTTGTGCTATGGATGGTGATGATTGATGACTTGGTGATGATAGAGGTGATGACATCATTCTCTTGTGTTGTCATTTTTTTTAAAGTAAATTTGATAAAAATATTTACTTGAAATTGTTCCCGCCAAAATCAACTACAATTTTTGCGCCAAAGGCTAAATTAAAAATCCTCATAAAAAAAATGTCTTCAATTCCACCTTCAATTTCTGCTACACCTGCTCTCGATGATTCAAAGAATTCAAACTTTCCAAAGGTCAACTTTTCAGAGAAACAATTGAGAGAATACAGGGAAGCTTTTGATATGTTCGTCAAGATGGATATTGATAAGAATAATAATAGTTTCGTTGGTGGATTGAATACATCATTCACTAGAAGTGCTTCTTTTGTTAGTAATACATCATTTACTGCTAAGAATATAAAACCAAGTTCTTCTCCTAAACCACCTTCACCAAGACGATCAGAATCAAGATCTTCAAAATCATCAACAAGATATGTAGAATCGGAAGATGAAGACTCTGAATATGAAGGAATTAATTCGGAAGACTCATCAGATGGAGAAGAAGATGAACCAAGTATTAACTTGGATAAATTGGGTGGTATTATGAGAAGTTTGTTTCAGAACCCAACTGAAACTGAATTAAAAGATATGATTAAGGAAGTTGATGCTGATGGTAATGGTGAAATTGAATTTGATGTAAGTTTGACATCAATTGATTGCTAATTTCATTGATCTTTTATAAACTGAATAGGAATTTTTATTATTGATGGCTAGTAAATCTCAAGAATTGGATTCTTATGAAGAAATGAAAGAAGCTTTCCATTTATTTGATAAAGATAACGATGGTTTAATAACAGTTGGTGAATTACAAAAATTATTTGTACATATTGGATGTGATTTAACATTGGATGAATGTGATTTAATGATTAAGGAAGTTGATGAAACAGGTAGAGGAATTGGAATTGAATTTGAAGATTTTGTTAAATTAATGAAATTGAGTAAGGAAGAATTAGCAGAAGGATTTAATTATATTCATGAATATGATTTCGTTAGGGCAACATTAGAAGATTTGAAAAAAGAATTTCATTTGGCAAATAGTGAAGAACAGAAAGAACTTCAACAAAAGATTCAAGACTGTCAACATGAACTCTTCTTGAAGAAACAATTAAGAGATAAGCAAGTTTACAAGGGAAAACATACAAGAAAAATGTTAGCAAGTTGTTTATTTTAAAGGAATGCACTTTTTTGAGATTTACGATTTCTCCATGCATTCTTACATTGTTGATATGAAATTTTACATTCATCAGCAAAACGTTGATCATCCATTGCAACATAATTTCTTGGTTCAGAGAAGGTTTTGTTTTCTTCATCTTCTTCCCAGAATGCTTTGTAACCTCCCTCAAGGACATAGATATCTGGGAATGATAAAATTGGATATTCATGTAAATGAAGTTTACGATCATGTTCTCTCATATATCTGTACATTTTAGGTGCTCTAGCTTGAGAATATTCACAATGGAATACAATAATTTGATTTGATAAATTCATTCCTTCTGAAAAGAATTGCTCGAGTAAAACATCAGGTGTCCAAATATTCAATGCACCTCTAATATGACCACCTTGGTATTCATGTGGAAATCTACAATCAATAATTCTAATTTGATTTTTCAAATTATCATCTCTCAATGCTTGTAAAAGAGTTTTTGAAGTAATAGAGTTGCAACCACTAATCTTTGGATGTACAATAGTTTCTAACCTAAGTTGAATATTAGTATTAATTGATGATGGACTAGCATCTTCATCACCACTATTAGAACAAGTGGCATCATTTAAATCTCTTGCTAAACGTCTAGATGGTTCTGAGAAATCTCTATAAGATTCTTCATCCTTTCTAGTTGCTTCCATTCCAAAAACATCATCCAATGATGTTAATAAGAGTGGTGATATAAGTGGTGTATCAATATCGTCATTGTTATCTTCATCTTGTTTCAAAGGTGAAACTTTAGGAAGTTGAATATTGGTAGGTCTATTCTTTTTCATTGAACTTTTTGGTGAAGTAATTGAGAATTGAGAAATGAATGGAGAGAGTAGAGTATGTTGTCTTGGATCATCCATAAATGATGAATCCAAATTGGAAGGACCTGATGCTAATGATGATGAACATAAGGTAAAATCTAAATTTCTTCTAATAGAATCAGAACCACTTGATAATCTACCTGTACTTGGTGGTGTTAAACTAATTCTTCTACTCGATGCTCTACTCAATGTTGAGGAAGGTGGTGTCAAAATAAAACCATGATCACTTTGATTATCTTCACTAAATTGTTGTTGTTTTGGAGTTGAAGAATGACCACAATCATCATCCAATGAAAATTGATGATCATCACTAAAATCTAAAACTCTAGTTGGTGTTACATTAGTCTTTATAATAGATTTAAATCTATCACCTGCATTACTTGGTGGAGAACATAGCAGAATTGAATGACATGTTTTAGTCTTCTTTTCTAATGGTGAAAATGATGTACAATTCTCTTTATCATATTCCGAATATTCAGAGTATTGATGTTGGTCTTGTTGGAATTGTACTGAATTTCTTTTATACTTGTGTTGTTGTCTATTATGTAGGCTAGTTGTTGTTGTAGAAGTAGTATTATATTTAATAGTTTTACAATTGGTTGTAGTATTACAAGTTAGAATTTCTTCATCATTACCATTATCATCATTATCACCTCCAAATAGTATTCTTGGCTTGATTTTTGAAGTAACATTGGCTTCGGCTCTTCCTCTTTTCATCTCAGGTCGTTATAGAGAAGATTTAATGTTGTTGGTTTGTTTTTTTTACGTGATGTGATGATAGAAATGCTGCTTTGAGTATTGAACCAAGCCTTTGTGAAAATATTATTTTTTAACCGCCAAATTTGATTTTTAAAAAACTAACCGTTAGACGTTTCAACTCTGAACAGGCAGTTACGTGCATCTCTCAATTTCCAGAGATTAATGGACAAACGTGCATGTTCTCGCACCATACAACGACTATTAAGAGATGAGAAGAGAGAACCCATTAAAGAATACAATTATTATCGCATATTTAATATTTTAAATCTCCAACAGGTATATATGATGTTAATGTTGTAATGGTTGTATATTCTGAATCTGGTGTTTTTGTTAAACGTTGTGGTATTGTACTTTGAATTTCTTGTTTTGCTAATTCTTCTCTCTTCTTTTGAATATCTTTCAATTCCTTCTTAAATTCTGAACTATCCAATTCAATCTTATAGGTTGGTTTCTTTGGTCGACGTGGTTTATCTGATGGCAATGTTGTTGCTAATAATTGCCAATCCTCAACATATTTATAATAATCCAAATCATCACACCATTTCAATAAATCATCCATTTCATCCTCAACTACTGCAACATCTCCAAATAATTCAATTTCTTCTAATTCTGCTAATAAATCCTTTTCCTTAATGGTCAAAGCAAGTGCTCTCAAATCACTATTCACTGTTCTAACCATTGGTACTGGTGGTGATTTCTCTTCTTCATTTTCACTATCTGAACCCTTTTTACTTTTCAATCCACGATCTGTTGTTGTACCTGTTGTTGTAGTTGATACATTATCTTCATCTTCCATCACTTTAGGATATGGCTTATTTAATAATTCAGCCTTTTTCATTTTAATAAGCCATTCCAATCTCTTTTTTCTCTTCTTTCTTTGATTATTTTCCTTTCTCTTCCATGGTAAATAATGATATGGTAGTAATGAATCAATTACTTCTTTATCATCTCTGGCAACTTGTAGTACTTTTGAAGTGGTTCCAGAAGTGAAATGAAGATTTGGATTTCTCTTCCTCAAATGCTTTGCCTCCTTCTTAGCTCTATCTAGAATAAATTTAAAACAATTATTACTAAATACAGGATCATCTAGAATATCTTCATGAACGAGTAAATTAGTTGAAACTGGTCTCCATGAATTTCTCTCTTCTCTTTGATACCAATCTTGAAATTCCCAATTTGTTGCCAAAACATCTCTATGGTTTGAAAATGTCATTGTTTTTACAATATTTCCATTATTATTTAAATTAATATTATTATTATTTAAATTATTTGAGGTTAAAGTTGAAATTAAATCCAATTGTTTTCTTTCACCTGAATAATTTCTTGGAGCGAATGAATTAATATCAATGATTGGTTTTTTTAAGAAAACCTTATAAAAAACAATTGGTGGAAATGATTTACCACCCAATCTAAATCTAATAAAAGCACCAATACTTGGATCAATTAATTGAGATTCAGATGGATTTATAGCTCTTAATATATCATATGGATGTGTTCTTTCTTTAAATATAATTAATTGTTTGTAAAATTGAAATATTTGTTTGTTAATAGTATTTCTCCACCATTTTTGAATAATAAAAGCAGCATGACATTTCTTATCATAGAAATACATCTTGTACTTTTTAAAAAAGATATCCTTAGATCCTGTTTTATCATATAATCTTCTTCTATATAATTTATATCTTGATTGAATAACAGATGATGCAATATGTGCTAATCTATTTCTTAAATATTCATCATTTCCATATCTCCAAACTGTTAATAATTGATGAAATTTAGCTTGAATTACTCCCATATATGAATTTAAAAATGTTGATAAATTTTCTTCATTCTTTTTAGCAATGGGTGTTATTAAAGCCTTTGTTGCAACTTCATATAAAGTTGAATATTGTCTGAATTTTTCATCTTCTTTTACTTTCTTTAAGGCTTTTAATTCATTAATTCTTCTTATATAAAATCCTCTCCTCGTTAAATATCCTTTTATACATCTTTGAATTTCAATGGCTGCACTAATAAAAGCCATCAGTGGATGAAATTCAATATTTCTAATAAAGTATCTTCTACGTTGTTTTGATGATCTGATTCCATGTCTAATATGATAGGGTGTTCTTCTTATTAATTTTACATGTTTATCAGATAAATCATTATTAATTAATGTTGATATTATTGATGTATTATTATTTTGAAATGATACTGAATTATTATGTGTTGGTGATCTTCCTTTGAATGGTGATTCAGGTAATCTTCTATCGGAATAATTAAGTGATGCTTCATTATGACTACTATTATCTACAGCCTCAATTGATAGTTTTTTATAGCCTCCTACTAATTTTTTATTTACATTTTGTTGTTGTTTTGGTTGTGGTGGTGGTTTATCAAAATCTTCCTCATGGAGTACCACTGGTTGGTCATTAATGTCTTGCATCATCATCATCAAGGTTAAGATAGGGATGATGGAATTTTTTTAAATTGTATATTTTGTTATTATATATTTGATATTCCCTCAATAAACATCACATTGATATGTTGTGCAGTTAGTAGTACAATACATAAAACTGTTGTAGTGAATTTGTGAGGGAATAAGCATAGAGGTTGGAATGATTATTCAGAGATTTTTAAACATTTGTGATGTTTTATGAAGTGATTTAATTATAATAATAACAATATTAAAAGTTACCATGTGTTGTTGTTCAAATCAATTTAAATTATTTGTTTCTGAAATCTTGAAACAGTGCCTCCAAAGTGAACCTGAACACACCACCTCACTCACTGTTTTCACAAATTACAAAAGATATTTCAAACTCCGTCGACCACCGGCACACAACAATAAAAACTCCTTTAAAAAAAATATCTGTGTGTGTGGAATCATATTGTTGTTGTTCAGAGTGTGATCGCATCATATTTTCACTATTTTTTTCACAATCTCTCCCACACCTTCATTATTATTTTCTTCTACATCTTTAATATTTTGTTAACAACATTATCATATCAACAATAACAATAATAACAATAATAACAATTAAAATCATCACATCATATTAAAATCATCATCAAATCATCATAGAGATAGAAAAAAATGTCATCAAATATAAATTTTCTATCTGAAACTAATCATTGTGGACAAACATTACTTCAACTTGTAGCACATGGTAATGCTATTATAGCAGAATTATTAAGATTAAGTAATTATATACCACCTGTATTCTTTTTAGAAGATAAAAAATATCAATATATTATATTTGATTTTAAATATTTAAAAAATCAAGATGCATTTGATAATAGAATAACATCAAGTGCAGATTTATTAGATTTGGATGAAAATTTTAAAGATAGTCATATGCCATTATTAGAAAGATTTTATACACTATTTAAATCAATCTATAATTATTATAAAGATTTTATTAAATTTATGAATGATTTAGATCAAGGATATTATATTCAACAAACATTAGAATCTATTCTTGTTAATCAAGATGGTAAACAATTACTTGCTGAATCATTATATTTATATGGTTGTATGTTATTATTATTAGATTTAAAAATACCTGGACCTGTTAGAGAACGTATGTTAATGTCCTATTTTAGATATAAAGGTGCAGGTGAAATTCCTAACATTGATGATGTTTGTAAATTGTGTAGATCGACAGGCTTTGATTCTACCTATTATTTACATTTAAAATATTTTGCACAACAACACGCTCATCACAATACTGGTAATAATGGCGCCATTTTTTACGATCATTCTAATAATAGTAGTAGTAATAATACTCATGATCATCATTCATCTACCCATCATTCACCTTCATCCAATTCAAGTGGAGGAGGTAATGGCAGTGGAGGCAGTGGAGGAATAACACCACCACAATATCCAGAATCTTATCCATGTGATTATTTTAATAGATTTGCATTACCAGATCAATTAGTGAGTATGATAATTGGTAGATTGAGATCTGATGATATTTATTTACAAACAAGTTATTATCCATTACCTGAACATCGTAGTGTTGCATTAAGTACACAAGCAGCCATGTTATTTATTATTTTATATTTTAAACCAAATATGTTAAATTCAGAACAAGCAGTAATGAGAGAAATTGTTGATAAACATTTTCCAGATAATTGGGTATTATCATATTATATGGGATTTACAGTTGATTTAACAATGGTATGGAAAGATTTTAAAGCAGCAAATTTAGCCATACAAAATATAGTAACATTGAATCATGTTAAAAATTTAACAGATAATTTTTATAATCAATTATTACCTAAATTAATAGAACAATTAAATCAATATTTAATAGAAGGAGTATTAGTAGAAGAATATGTATTAGATAATATTAATAGATTATTATCATGTTTAAGAGAATGTAATGTAACATTACGTTGGTTATTATTACATCGTACTTCTAAAAATAGAAAAGTATATGAATTAATTGATCAAATGACAAATTCAGAAGATATTTTATTATTATTATTAAATACAGCACAATTTGAATTTTTATTAAAACAAATGTTTCAAGAAATGTTAGATTCAAAAGAAATTAAATGGAGTGAATGTAAAAATCAAGCACATTTAAGAATGATTGAATTATCACAATATTTTAGTGGTGAAAAAGCATTAACTCCAATTAAAGATGAACAATTACAAGAATGGTTCTCTGAAATGTCTAATCGTATAATTGAATTAGATTATCATGATTCAACATTGGCAGGACGTCGCATCCAACAAGTTATTTCAGCATTGGAAGATGTTGAACAATTTCATCAAATTGAACAATCACTTCAAGTTAAACAATATTTATCAGATACAAGATTATTATTGAAAAAAATGATACGTTATGTTAATATACGTGAAAGTGTTCTAGTTGGTATTGCAATTGTTAGTGATATTTCATATGCATGGGAAATTGTAGGTGATTATGTTAAATCAATGCAGAGAAGAATTAAAAAAGATCCATCATTGATTATTAAAATGAGATCTACATTTTTAAAATTATCAACAATGTTAGAATTACCACTTGTTAGAATTTCACAAGCTAAATCACAAGATATTGTCAGTGTTTCACAATATTATTCAAGTGAATTAGTTAAATTTGTTAGATTTACTTTAGAAATTATACCAATGAGCATGTTTTCTATTTTAAATAAGATTATTGAAGTACAAACAAATAGATTAGAAGAATTACCAACTAAATTACCAAGAAATGAATTGAAAAGATTTTCACAATTAGATGAACGTTATGATTTATCAAGATCAACTTATGAAGTTTCAAAATATACTGAAGGTATTTTAGCAATGGAACGTACTTTAATGGGTATTGTTGAAATTGATCCAAAACAATTATTAGAAGATGGTATTAGAAAGGAATTAGTTAGACAAATTGCAATGGCATTACATTCTAATTTAATATTCAATTCTTCACAATATGGTTTTGATTTATTAAGATTATCACCTCAACAACAACAACAAGATGATATTACATCTACTAATTCTCATTCTAATAATTCATCTAACAATTCATCATCATCATCATATCGTAATAGTATTGATCAATTTATAGATCAATTAGTTTCAAATAATACTTTAAATAACAAAAAGATGGAATCAATACCATTAATTGAATATACACGTTTATTTGAAGATAAATTAGGTAAATTACATTCACAATTAGATGGAATGTTAAGATCATTTGAATATATTCAAGATTATGTTCATGTTTATGGATTAAAATTATGGCAAGAAGAATTTTCACGTATAATAATGTACAATGTTGAACAAGAATGTAATACCTATTTAAAAAGAAAAGTATTTGATTTTCAATCACTTTATCAATCAGAAGTAATACCAATACCAAGATTTAAATCAATTCAATCACAACAAATGATTGATAAACAATCTATTACTATATTAAATTTTATGGGTAGATTAATGGTTGAATTATTAGTACAAACTGATAGTAGACGTACTATATATATTGAACAATTAAGTGGATGGTATGATTATGATTCTAATTTTTTAAATTCAAGTTCAAATTCAAATTCAAATAATTCTAATTCTAATTCTTCTAATTCTTCTTCTAATAATAGTAATATAAAAAAAGAAGAAATTATTGGATTAACATGTTTTACATTATTACAACAAACAGTATCATCATTTGGATTAGTTGGATTAGATTTATTATTAAGTTATAGAATTGTAACATTATTAAATCAATTTGTTAAACAATATTTAAAACATTTAAATATAGATTCAATTAAAAAACATTTAAAATTCTTTAAAGATTTTATAACACCACCAAATACATTACCTGAACAATTAGGTAAAATTTATGAACAAGTTTTAAATTTATTACCATCACAAATATTTACACATGTATTTTTATATTATGTAATGCAAGTTGGAACATGTCAATTATTGAGAAAACATATTGCTTCTCAATTATTATTTACATGTAAATTAAATGCAAATCCTTTATTTAATACTTTAACTAATTTAAATCATGCTATTTTAAAAGATGTTGAACATTATTTTGATATTCATTATAAAAATCAAGCAAATCAAAAATTATCACAACAACGTTTATCAAAACATTCAATTTTACCTTCATCTAATCAATCAAATCAATCAAATAATATGAATAATAATCAATCAAATCAATCTAATCAATCAAATAATATGAATAACATTTCAATTAAATCAACAAGACAATTAGATGGAGTTGGTTATCCATCTGAAAATAATCCAATCTTTTCAGAATTGACACAATATTTACAAACAAGTGGTATGCATCAACCATTTGAAAAGATTTATATTACACCAAATTTAATTATTCAAAATAGTGGTATTGGTATTTCAACAAGTAGTAAAACTAGTAAAAATTTTAATAGTAATATTAATATTAATAATAATAATAGTAATGGAAATATTGGAGATTACATTTCAGTGACAATGTTTTTATTTGTATTAAATTGTATTGAAAGATTTATCTATGTACCATCAATTGATTGTCTAGTTTCTAAAAAGAAGGGAGATATTTTAGATGGTACACCATTTATTGTTGGTATTTATACAGTATTGAAACAATTCCACTCTTCACAAACACATTTATTCTTATCTTTTATTGGTCAATATATTAGAGCTAATACTGATCAAATTAATATTGAAAAGAAGGGTGCTAATATTCCTGATAATGTCATTTTCATGTTGAGATTTATTCAAAGATTTTGTAAATATGGTAATATTAGTCAAAAGGTTTTAGAAGGTCACGTTCCTTCTTTTTTATTTACAAAACTTGTTGATTAATTATTATTATATTATATTTATATTATATATATTAATAAGAGTATTATTATTACATTGTGTGCATATGAATGGATGTTTAAATTTGTTATAAAATGATGGAATAATTAAAAGTTTATTTTATCATTTTGTT